TGTTACGGACTAGTGATGGTTAATGACTAGTGATTGTTACGGACTAGTGATGGTTAATGACTAGTGATTGTTACGGACTAGTGATGGTTAATGACTAGTGATGGTTAATGACATCACTACTGTCTGCTTCCTGCTGGTTTATCAGCTGATTCTGACAGAGATGAGTCTTTGGCAGTCACTGATGAATCCACCACACGGCTCCACTTTTTATATATGGAGATGTGTTTGTTTCTCAATCCTTCTGTTAACGTATGACTCAATGCTTCTAGGACCATGGGTGACCTGGAGGAAATCAGCCGACACTTCCAGAACAAACTCTGCTCCTTACGCCGCATGTTGGATCTGTCGGCTGCCGGTAGGACCGAGGCCCAGCTGAACCGCCATGAAGGTCCATCCTCTTCAGTAACCGCACTCCTTCTTCTCTCCATTTAGACCTACCCCAGCACAAGATCCAGAAACTGGCACAAGACATCCTGGGCCTGCGGGGGACCCTGGAGGAGTTTGAGAAATGTGTGGATCGTCAGAAAGAGCAGCTGAATCAGCTGAGGGTAAGGTTTCTGCTGCAGGTGGAGGAAGTCTGAGAACTCCACCCTCCGTTGGCTTCTCATCTCAAATGTTGTTTTATGGCTTTCAGGAATTTGAGCGATTATGTGAAAAGGATGTGGAGTTTCTTCAGCATATGAAGGAGAACATTCCAGCACACATCCCCAAGAGGAGAAGTCCAGTCAGGTGGGAAAACTTTCCCTTACGACCATTTCCACTCCTTCTGTGGTGACGGAGCTCCACTCGCACCTCTAATCAGTTTATTTCATTAGTTTGTGATCTGAAGATAAAATGTTATAAAAATGTTATAAACCTTCTAAGTGACCAGAAAGACCTGAAGTTATCAGGGTTACCAGAACCAGGGGGGTTGGCAAAAAATATAATTTATTATTTTGACTTAAGGTAATAGTCAAAATAACAAAGGTATTTGCTGAATACTCATTTGTTGCAGCACACAAAAAATATTTAAACTTAAATGTGCGAATCCCTCATTTAAAGTTTGATCATGTTC